CTAACTTTTATAAAGTATTATAATACTTTATATTATATTATAATATATAAAGTAATATTATAAAGTTATATTATATTATAATATAAAGTATTATAGTATTAAAAGTAAAGTATATTAAAGTATTATTATATTATAATATACTTTATATTATAAAGTATTATAATACTTTTTATAAAGTATATAAATAATTACGTGTGGCAGTTTTCTTTCTTCTTGTTTTTTCTATTTTTTGTTAAGTAAAGGAGAACATTTTTTGGAGAAGAAAAAGAGTCTAAGTTTTCTCTAAGTATTATTATTATTATTAGTACTATTCAGTTTATTCAGTTAATTAGGAAAGTATATCAAAACGTTTAAAATGCTATGTTTTTCTCATAAATGACTGTTCAATTTGAAACAAAAAAGCAATCTTAATAAATTTTAATAAAATCTTAAATACAATTTTTAGTGAATTCCAGATGATTCTTAAATAGCGGTACTATACCCGGTACAACGAGAATTGGCAGCAAATATAAACAGCTACGCGCGATCGTAATTCAACGTAAATGTGATATCGTTAATTAAATATCAGTAATATTATTATACAATGATGTAAATAAGGAAGCAAATGGAGGTACAAATCGAGGTATGCAAAACTATAGAATTTCTACATGTGATTTATCTGTTTATTACACGTGCATACAAAATGTATTCCGGTTCTGTGCTCGGACTGCCAAAATTTCAATTAATTATAAACGATACCGTTAATGTATCAATATTGTTATCCAATTGTCGAAATTTATGTTCGATAACTCGAACAACGTGTTCAACACATTTTCTCCGGTTTTCAACCGTAACACGTTCTAATGACTCGAGAAATAATCTTTTTGCATTCAGCGAATCTGTAAACATTGTATTATTTGTTGCAATGTATGCAATTGTTAATTAATGTTAAGATTATATTTAATTCCCAGTGATTGTATTTAATTCCTTATGTTTCTTTCTCTCTATTTTATATAAAATATATAATATAATAATAGATAATATATATCTTATTGTATAACAATTTGCAAAGAAATTAAAAAGATGAGATAAAAACGCGAGCAATAATGAATGTTCTTTCATAATCTTTGAAACATCTCAGTTGAAATAAAAAAATGTTGTGGTTCTTTCTATGCGCTCTTTGATAAGAAATTTAAGTTCATCTGTTACAAAAATTAACGAATAATCTAGAAAATTAATAAAAATTCTTCTTCTTCATTATTTTTTGAAATTCCAAGAGTATGTATATAAATAGGGAAATATAGATATATAATAACTTCTTTAAATCTGGACCAAATTATTTGAATTTTTCTGACATGTTAGACCGATTAGTTTGTTAGAGAATGAGTAAACAAAAATCTTTTTAGATTTCAATTGGCTGGAACGAAGGAACAATCGAAAAGCGATGTTCTTTTTGCAACCTTTTCATCCGAGCTTATAACGAAAATTGAAAAAAATGCGTTCTCTCGATCCGGGTAACTGACATCTCAAAAAATTCTCTCAAACTCATACAATCTGGTTCAAGTGTAAAAAATGTATCACACATGTATACTTCTCTATTTATATGCTCGTCACTGTACGTCGACGCAAATACTAAACAAATCCAGCATATTCGATCGTTATTTAAAAATCTCTCAGCTCTGAACCAACAAACTCTCCTCGATTAATTCTACACCCTCTCGTAGAAAGACCGAGATAACCCGCATTCAAAATTCCGGTACAATCACCCGATGGCAGACAATTGGTAGACGTTCGGCTGCTTCATTATTTATGAAGCTCCAAGAGACTCGTCCCGATTCATCCACGCTCCACATTTACAACGCGCGGATCCATTGATTTACAGGAGCCCCGATTCGGTTGCGCCCGATTCCATCGTTCGTGTTTTCGATGCCCGATGAAAGGACCCGGCGATTCGATCCGCTTCGCTCCGTTTTTGCACGAAAACAACCGTCGATGCAGATCCCGCGGATAGGGGAGCCCCGAAAGTTAAGGAAGCGTTGCAGTTTTCCAGCGAACGTTTCGCAACCGCCGCAGTTCCCTTCATCAGTGGCTGCTTGACACAGTGCACCACCTGACGATGCCGATACACACGGAGAACTGCAGTGCACGCGAAAACGCCGGCGAAGATGCTGAAAATGTGGCCGGCATTCGCGGATCAATAGGAACAAGTTTGACGGAAACGACCCAGATAGCCGCCGGGTTATCGGGCAATCAGCAGATTCGCCGGCAGATAGGATAGAGGAGCCAATTGCTGTGCCCCGTTAGCAGCTTTTAGAAGTATTCGCTACTAAACACAACTGTAGCATATCAAATGACATTTCTTAAGGGCTTAAACGTAAGTTTCGAAGTGTCTTTCGTCGATAGAAATTTTTCCACGACACAACTGTCAAGTCTTCTTTGAATATTAGGAGCGAAAAAATGTTCTGGAGCCAGTTACCGTGTGCCCATTATCTACAAAGATCAGTTACTGTGCTCCCTACCTGAATACTGTGTTTTACGAACTAATTGCTTCTAATCGTTTCTCTTTAAAAAGATAATTGCTTCTAATTGCTTCTGTTTAAAAGCATAATTGCTTCTAATTGTTTTTGTTTCAAGAAATAATTCCTTCTAATTGTTTCGGTTTCAAAAATTAATTCCTGCTAATTGTTTCTCTTTAAAAACGTAATTGCTTTTAATTGCTCCTATTTAAACAAATAATTGCGAATTTGTGCATAATATAAATATTTTTAAATATTCCTGCATGTAAAATTAGATAACTAGACCAGATTTTTATGCAAAATAAAAGTTGTCTCCACTAATTTGTTTGTTTGTTTCCGGGCATAACTAATTTCATATTTATCTGCATAATAAAAATTTCATACTTGGCATACTTACATAGATGTTATATTTTATAAAAAAATGTAATATAATAATAAATAATTTAGAAGTTTACATTAGAGATGACTGCTTTAACAAAATTTCCCTTTTACATTTCTCCTTTTTGAAAATATAACAGTGTTGATTTGAGATTTGAGGTTATGTAAAAATAGATTCGCTTACTGTGCACAGTAACTAACGCATCGGA